AGCGGGCGATCGGCCGGCGCCCGCGTCCTCGTACAGCCCCAGGGGGTCGCTGGGGTCAGCGGGCGAGGCGGGCGCGCCCAGGCCGCCGAACAGGTACACGCGCTTCGCCTTCTTCTCCGCCGGGTGTTTGGCCAGCGCGGCGGCGGCGGCGGGCGCTCCCGGAGTCCGCGCCTTGAACAGCGCGTGGGGGTCGGCGGCGGCGCCCAGGGGCAGCAGCGCGGCCGCCCCCGCCTGCTCTGCCGAGAAGGACGACGAGGCCGCCGCCTTCCCGCCGCCCCCGGCCAAGACGAGCTTGGCGTGCGGCTTGGGGGCCCCCGCACCGCCCGCCACCTTGGAGCCGAAGCCCCCCACCACCACAGCCAGCCGCCCTCCGCCGCCGCCCCCCGCCGCCGCGCTCCCGCCGCTGCTTCCCCCGCTGCCGCCACCGACCTTGTCGCCCTTGTCCCCGGTCTTGGCGGCGGCGGCGGCGGCAGTGGCAGCGGCCGAGGAGCCCGAGCCGGCGTTGCCGGACTTCACCTTCTTCCTGGGCCGGTACTTGTAGTCGGGGTAGTCAGCCATGTGCTTGAGCCGCAGCCGCTCCGCCTCCCGAATGAAAGGGATCTTGTCGCTGTCCTTGAGCAGCTTCCAGCGTTTGCCCAGCCGCTTGGAGATCTCGGCGTTGTGCATGTCGGGTGACTGCTCCATGATCTTGCGCCGCTCGATCTGCGACCATACCATGAAGGCGTTCATCGGCCGCTTGATGTGCCCGCTCGGCGTCTTGCACCAGCTCGGGTCGTCGGCCTTGCCGCCCGTGGACGCGGTGGAGCCGGGTGTGGGCGAGGAGGCGATGCCCAGCTCCAGGCCGGCGCCCGAGTCCGAGCTCTCGCCGGCCAGTAGCGCTTCCGTGTTCTCCGCGTTGTTGGTCTGCTGCACCATGGTCCCGGCGCGGCGAGCGCCCACGCGCGCTCACCCCCTCGCTCGCGGCGGCCGCGGCACGATCGCCGGGCCCTGCCGGCTCCACGGGCCGAGCGCACTCCGGGCGGGCCCCTCCACCGGCGGCCGGGCGGAGGTGGGCGCGGGGGGCGCGGTCCCCGGGAGACGCGGGCGAGGAGTTGTAGTTCCCAGACTGGAGCGCCCGTCTCCTCCGTGCTCGGCGTCTCACCGCCCTGCAGCCTGCTCAGCCCGTCGGCGGAGTCGGGGGAGCCCGGGCTAAGAAAGGTGAAGAAGACTTTCTTCCGTGCTGCTGCTGCTGCTGCTCGCGCGTCTTCCAGGGCAAGTTTCTCGCCGCCTCCCGGGCAAGTCTTTTTGCTTTTTTGGTTTTTTTTCCTCCTCCCCCCCCACCTTGAAGCAGTTGGTTCCAGTTCACGAGCACTCTCCGTAGCTCAGGAAAGCGACATCGTCTCGTCTCTATCACTTAGTCTCTTTCCTACCATGCAAAGCAAAAACGAGTCTGGCTCCAGGACTCTCTGTGGGCGGAATCGGCACTGAGGAGTTTGTGCAATTAATTTGTTGCAAGGTAGGAAGCCAGAAAGCCTGCATGCAACAGACTGGCATGAATAAATGTATGTTTCTCCCTCCCTTCTGCAAGAAGGGAGCTGGTAATGGCAGAGTTCCTCTAGTGCAGACTCGTAAAGAGCGTGCAGGAACTAGAGACCCGGGAGTGAGACAGGCCTCTTCGCCGAACACACAGTTTCTCTTGCTGCAGCTTAGAGCAGACCCCAATTCCGCCTCGCGCCTCTTTATCCTTTGGCCGCAGCCAATCAGCCGCTGTAACTAACGCTTCCTCGTGCCAAGCCCCGCCCCCGCCCTTCCCATTGGCTTGGAACCCGATGCAATAATAATCTCCGCGTGCAATGAGAAGCTCCAAATCTGACCTCATTCCAATTTACAGAGCAAACTTTTTAAAAGGGCTGGAAGTACAGCTGAGATTTCTGCTGCCTCTTTTTTCCTTTTGCTCTGTGTGTGCGTGTGTGTATTTGTGTGAAGAGGATGTTAATGCATGAAATTATGAAGGGGAGAGACGGAAATGTATTCTAACCATTATGTTAGATAACAAGGGACTTTGGGGGGGGAGTAAGGGTGAAATACTCTAAATGGAAGCTTTCTGCTTAAAAGCCAAGTGATTATTTTTATTAGTTCTTTTCAGCATTGGAATAAAGAATCAGCCTCTAGTGCAAAATCTGTTCCTCGGCCCCTTCTTAAAGCCAGCGATGTAAAGGGGAGGTAAAGCCACAACAATAAATCAGTGGATATTGAAAACCATTAAGAAAGTGGTACCTAGACACCTGTCATCACAATTATTTTAACAACTCGAGGTACAGCGCAGATGTTGATGTATTGTGCAAATCCCTCAGAATAGTTTCTGCGCCGCTTGTGGAAGGCTGAAAAGAGGACTTTTTGCAGTAACTGCCTACTCTCTTAACCAAACAAGGGTTAACTATGGCTATTTAATGACTTAAACTCCTTTATAAATCCTCAATAGCCCAAACAGAGCAGCTTTCCCCTGAAACACACTAGGCAGCGCTCCATAATCCTGTGGATGGGAAGCGCTCCCCGGAGTTTTGTATAGGGTGAGTAAACGGTGAGCATAGGACGGAAGCCAACTTTGCTTTTCGAAGTATTTGTTTTCCACATTTTCCAAAGGGAAGAGTGGTTCATTCTCTATACCCCTCTGCCTCCCAACGCCTCCTTCCTTATTATTTTCCTTCTTATTTTCTCTTGTACGTGTGTTACTTGGATCAAGTGGGGCTAAAAGAGCAAGGCAGAAAGGAGGTGATCACTGATGACAGGAAAGTAGGCAATCTCTGAATTCATGTGAGACGGGCTGCTAGTCTTTCTTAGTGGCTTTGTAACTGTGGGGATGTTGTCCTCATCTGTGATATGGGAACACTAGGAGCCGCTTTAGAAAGGACTGAGAGTTCACTGAGTCTGTGACACAAAGCGCTTGGGGAATGCTAATGCCCTTTCCTTAGTAATCCAAATGCCCTGTCTAGTAAAAGGGGTGGGTTGTTCAAGAGGCTTACACTGAGGATGGCCCGGGTGTGAAAAAGGATCACCTATCACAGATGTGATCCATACAGGGACACAAGAGGCAACTCTGGTATTCTGACAATTTTAAAAGGGAGAGACTTCTTGAAGAATACTGTACATCAGGTGGCAAAGAATTCAGAAAGATTTGAAAACTATACTAAAAACTGCTCTTAACAGTGTAATAGTAAACTGGTTTTCTACCAGCCAGTGATAGGTACGTAGGGCCAGGCTGGCATAAAGTCATCTTTTTTTTTTTTTGGTACCGGGGGATCAAACTGGGGTCCTTGTGCTTGTGAGGCAGGCAACAAAACCACTGAGCTAAATCCCCAGCCCAAAGTCAGCTTTCTCTTCAGGTCAAACTAGTGCTGGGTAGTATATTTCCATTTATTTTGTCAGACTCTTACAATGAATGTGTAGGCTGGCGAGAGTCCTAGGTTGTGGGATTTAGAATTTCACTGTAAAGAACACCCTATGGAGACAGCTGATTGGATCATGCATAGCAAGAATGTTTTTGTTAAAACATTGTAAAGGCTATTTTTTATTACTAGCTACTCCAGTTATATACTTTTTTCCTAGAAGGTGCAATCCTAAAACAAAAGAAGAAACTCCATAAAACAAAAACACAAATGCACATTTGTGGCATAATAAAGTTAGTGTATGATCATACATTTCATTTTTTCTGGTGTGTACACAAACTCGCCCTAAATATTAGCAACCCGACACAAAATTTTTTCTAAGAGGTCTGTTATTTATGAAATCAGTAATTTTTAAGGATAAAAAAGAACAAATATATTTATTTTGGGATTTATACCAACTAATGTTTTGAGGGTGAATTACTTTGGTAATTCAAAGTGTGCATAAATCTAATTGATTATATCTCTATCAACATTTATGCTTCCACCACTAAGTATAATGGGGGAAACCTAAGGGTTATTTAAGGAAGTCACAGTAATTATGTTTATGGTTAAAGCATAGATTTTTTAAAAAGAGTGTACTAAAGAGTAGTCAACTGACCTAATTCTTTTGTTAGATGTATCTTCTGTATTTCAACAAATCCAACACATTTTAAGACACATCATTATATTACATGGTACCTGCTAAGAAAAATGCCAGTGAAAAAAACCCTTTTCATTTTTCTAACTGTAAGATGCTTCCTTGTTTCAGAGGTGTTGAAAGAAAAATGTTTCTCTCAGAATTGATGAAATATGGTATTAGTAACTCTCATGGATTTTATGAGATGATAATAGCATATATAGGATTGGTTAGACTTCTGAAATAGGTGTTAGATCTTGTAGAATGTAAAAAAACATGACAAATGGCCATTTATTAAAGACATCTTTCAAATAAGTAAAGTATGAGTAAATATATTGGAATGTATTGTGCTTCAAATACCAAATAATGAGAAAAGATTTCTATGTTCTGATTACTTAACTTCATATATTTTGTAATCAGTTCACCATTACTCACGTTTCCCCCAAATAGCAGATATGTGGTGGCTCCTACTAAAGCAGTACTCAGTGTTCCCTCTGCTGGCTTCGCAGTACATGAAGTAATTCGTAATGCCACTCTTTTAGCTGTATTAACAAGAAGCTAAGATAATTTTGCAAAAAAAAAAAATCTTGTTTCAGAATAACAAATTGTCTTTATTGGCAATGATGTTAGGCATTTCAAATTTTGAATTAAGGGAAATATTTTATCTTATTTGATCCCATTAAATAATGGAACCCATTGGGGCTGCAAGTGTAATCTCTGCTCATGCATTTCCTCTGCTTCTCACACACCTGCCCAACAAATCCCACACACACACAATGGTGTGAGTATGGCTGAAGATTCTGTTCCACTGCTTCATCATTCCTTATAGCATAGAGGGGAGGAAAACCTGAACGGATATTAGTTTAACGAATCTCCTGAATTTGCACTGATTTGCAAGACTTTTGCCTTGCCTTGGTTGCAGAAACTGTGATTGTGGGAGCTGGTCTGACCTTATAAGGGGGATTCAGTTCAAAGACAGAGGGGAAACCCTATTGTTACTTTAGCTGACAGGCCAGAAGCCCCCCCCCCCGCGGGAAATAAAATGTCATTTCTTTATCAGCTGAAAGGCCTCGGGGCTTTTTGGTTCCACACTTCATGAACAAGGACCCTCCAGCCGAGGCTGACGACAAACAGCCTGTGCCCATCCCTCTGGGCTGCTGAGGTTATATTGGAACTGGACCAGAGAGGGGGAAAATAATATATGTAATTGTTACTTGCAAAATATCAAAACAGGCTTCCGGTCTAAATGAAATCTGTGACTTATTCTTACTCTTAGACTAAGCTAAGAGATAAGAAACGGACCTGTCTAATAATTTTTCCCACTTTTTCTTCCCTTGTAACCACCCACTAGCACACAGACTCAAGCAAGCTCTTCAAACCAATGGCAATCGATGCCAACCCAGTACTTCTATCCGCTCGATTGGTTTTCTCAGACAGCAAGTGTGCACGGACCCCCTAGGTTTAAAGTGTAAGTGTGGCTTCTGCCGTTTCTGCGGGCAGGGGTCTGGCCCCCCCACTCCAGGCCTGGATTTGCTCTGCGGCCCGCCGCCTCCCAGTGTGGGGAGAAGCGGCCGCCAGGTGGCAGCGCTGAGCCTCCCTGCGCCGGCGAGGAGACTGGACAGCGTGGGGCTGGTAAAACTTCTCTCCTTGCATCTCTCCCGAGCCGCTCTCACCCTCCCCTTTACCTGCTGCAAGTAGCGGCTTAACGACTAGCGGTTAATAAGGTGTGTCGGCGAATACCGATCTTTTTTTTTCTTTTTCGTAACTAAGTGTAGGGCCAACCACCTTCCGCCTCCTGGTCAGTTGGAAGCTCCCAGTGGCTGGGGAAGCCAGGACTCGCGTCCCCTTTGGCTCTAGTAACCGAACCGGGCAGGTGACCCGTTCCCGCGCGCGTGTCGCCCTGCGGAGGCGGGTGTGACTTAGGATACAGTTTCTCCGCCAGCTACTCCGGGCTTCTGAGAGCG